CATTAGACTCTCCGTGACGAGCTGCATTGAATCAATACCCAGTTTATGCAAAACTATCAACTTTGAAATTTGACCTTTTTTGACCTGACCTTGACCTGACCTCCACCAGAAAGTGACGAAAGTCGTACCTGATGGTCTACTAGGGGAAGTTGGGGCAATGCCGGAGTTGGGGCAAAGCCGAAATTCGAGATATTTCTAAAACCATACGACATGGATGCCACGTCTCAGTGATGCTCTGAAGCTTAAGTGACTACAATTATCGCATGTTTGTTACGAGTCGTCATTTTGAATACTTCGGCTGTGAGGGCGCCAAAAGCGTTTTCAAGGTACGTTTCCCTTGTTCTACATGCGCCTTTGAAGCTGCATTTCTTACTCATTATGCTACCGTTTGTCTGGCCAATTCGGTCAGGTAATCTTCAGCATGTCTTTGCATAAGTGTGCTGCCTATTTGAAATTTATACAGCACGTTTAAAAGTTATGGGCCTGCAAATGAAAGTATGGCTGGCTGGGGTAATGCCGAAAACGTGCAATTACGCACGTTAAAGCACGCTACGTGGACTTTACTGCTGTAGAATAGCAACGCGTATTTTTAGTCATACAAATTACACTTTCAGCCGGCACAACGGCCTGTTACCTATAAGGAATGATTTACCTGGCATTTTCTGATTATATCACACAATTATAACTTCCAGTGTGCACCAAGCGTCCTCAAGCTCTTAAAACGCGTGTCAGCTTTGATGAATTTTGGATAAAGTTTGAGATAGATTGGCAAAACATCAATGTCGGCATTCCTCGTAGATCATTTATCCCATTTTCGGCTTTCCCCGCAGTCCGGGGCAACGCCGAAAAAGTCACTTCTTTGATATTTTTAGTTTGTGCGCTTAACGGTATGCGAATTCATCAAATGCGCCTGGTATGTTTGAAAGACAAAAGACTGGCCTCTCGAATGACGCCAACAAGAATAGCTTATGTTGTCTACCTTGCGTGCTACGGGCGTCAGAAAAAAAGTATTCGGCGTTCCCCCAACTTCCCCTAACCAACACCATTGAGTTGGAAATGAAAAATTGGCCAAAAAGCATGCATCGCACAACCCTAGTAAAGTTGGGTTCATGTGCTGACCCATGGTGACCTGACCTGTGACCTGACCTGGTATTGTCAGTGATCTCTAATAGCAACATATGTACTACTATGGACGTCAAACCTCTTGAGACCCCACTTTTTGCGATAATTTTTAAATGCGTCAACTCTCGTTGACAATATTCTGGCAATGTGTGTTTCAGAACCTGCCGAAACTTTTACTACTAAGGTATTTTGACGCCAAACGATTATGAAAGGTACTTCTCATTCTCTCGTAATGTTAAATTTCACGGAACGAATCTGCTGTTTGGGTAGAGGCTACGCGCTCATGGGGCGGAGCCACGTAATGACGTCAGCGCTAAGCTCCGCCCTACCCCTCCGGCGCTCCTTGCCCGGCGACCGGTCACTCGCGTCTCTCGCTCCATTCAGGCTTGATGGTGGGCGGTAGCTGGTAGCGGTAGCGGGCGCTGGTAGATGACATTTAGAGCAGATGGCGCTGGTGGCGGGGCTCGATTGTGGCCGAGCGCAGGCCTCTGCCCGGGCCTGAAATGACCTTAGCATTACGAGTGAATTACCGGGGTTACATGAGCGATCCGTTCCAAATACGCACTACGCTAATGCGCATCAGCTCCCCACAAACGGATCTACGGCACCGGTTACATGAGACTAATTCGTTTTATCTACGTCAAACGGATCTTGTTTGGCTCACCCGGGCTGATTCCTCGACGGCCGGTAATTCGCATCACAAACGGAATAGGATTAGCGTACAGTCATGGCGCAGTGGCGGCATTTACCGGGACGACTGAGCTAAATTTTAAATACTTATATCATTTGATAGGCTCAAAAACATTTAAAATTAACATGAAATAAAAAAATGAAAACAAAGTTTTCTTGTTTTAAGTCAGTGGGCACTGATTCGCCATGCAGCGACAGCAGGGTGGTCAGAAAAAATTATCTATCAAAATATTTCATTCATTTTATTTCACATGCAAAGACTAAACCAAAATACCAACATTTTTGTTTTTGCTATTTTCTACGAGGTAGCCAATAAAAAAATGCTTAGTATTTTGCATTTTGACGCTTCCAGTCAGCAAAGAATAGTTCTTGTGAAATACGGCCCGAATCGTGTGCCTCGGACGTTTCGGTTACATGAGCGATCCGTTCCAAATACGCACTACGCTAATTCGCATCAGCTCCCCAAGAACGCATTCAGTGCACCGACTACATGAGCAAATTCGTATCAGTGACGTCAAACGGATCTAGTTTGGCTCTCGGCCCGATGCGCATTACAAACGGAATAGCATACAAATGTGGCGCACTTCCGTAGCAATAGAGGTGACTAAATTAAAAATTTATTATCTTATGTCTTTTTTGCATTTAATCTGCTCAAAACATTCTCAATTAACTTAACAAAAAAAGTTGAACATAAAGTTGTCTTGCTTTGACTCATTGGGCAATTGCCTCTCTTGATTTGTCTGTAGTGCTGTCAGAAAAATGTTTCAACTGAAATTATGTGGATATTTACTATTTGGATTTCACTATATTTATTGTTGAAAACTTGACAAAATACCAACATATTTTTTAAATATTATTTCAAAAGAAGTAAATGAAAAAAATACCTAATATTTTGCATTTTAATGTTTCTTTTTGCGAAGAAATAGTTCCTGTAATACGTATCTTGGTCCTATTCGCTTCTAAGCTTCTTTCCCAGCGGATTTTGTTCGGACCGCCGATTCGTATTAGCAGGTGGATACATGAGTCGGTAGAGTACGCTCCTGATTCGCATTAGCGGTGAATCCGATCGTGATACGTATTTGCTTTGCTCATGTAACCGCGGATCGGATCGCCGATTCGTACTAGCAAGTGGCTACATGAGTCGGTAATGCGTTCCTAATTCGAATTAGCGGCTAAATACGTATTTACTGTGCTCATGTAACCCCGATAAATGAGAAGTACCTTCCATAATCGCTTGGCGTCATAATACCTTAGTAATAAAAGTTTCGGCAGGTTCTGAAACACACATTGCCAGAATATTGTCAACGAGAGTTGACGCATTTAAAAATTATCGCAAAAAAGTGGGGTCTCAAGGGGTTTGACGTCCATAGTAGGTTACTGACGCCCTATCGCTGATTCTCGACAAAATGCGTTTTCCTCAGTGTTAAAGCGCATTCCCTAGAAGACCCGTGAACGGTGAAACATTTCATCTTTGACCTGACCTGTGACGTCATCGGTGACCCCGAGGTCCATGAAATTTCGTTTCTTTCAACAAATTTGACAGTCCTTTCGAACGCCGTTTAAATTTTGCGGATCCGTCTAGTAGTTTTGGAGATATGAGGGGGGCAAAAAATAGCACCGCCCCCCCCCCACCAGGTCGCGTTATAAACAGACCCCACCAGGGCGCGGGCTAAAGAATCGATACAGGTACCGATACGCGGTGCGGCGGTGCCATCAAGCCCGGCCGAGAGAGCAAGGTGACACCAGGCCGAGAGTCACCGAACCACTTGACGATGGGGATGGATGAGGACTGAGGATGTCGGTCAGGGGCGGATCCATAATATTATTCTGTCAGGGGCCAATGGAATGGGGGCGGCATGTTTTCACCTACTTGGGGCGGCAAAATGTAAGATTGGGGCGCATATAGTGAAAATTGAAGACAACGTCATCTGTCTGTTTCCCTTCCTCTGATGTTTTCATGGATATAGTTATTTGATAGCGTGCGGTGCCCCGATTCGTCACTCCGTAGAGCGGCATATTTTTCGGCTAGAGATTTTAGCCCCCAAAGCCCTCCCCTGGGTCCGCCCCTGATGTCGGTAAGGAAATGGACAGAGTCGAACTGATTTTAGTCGTTGATTCACCGGTGGCCTCTTTTCCCGTTCATCGGTACTTCCAAGGAAACTGTACATTTGGGCAGTACTTTTTACATACGTCTGACATACAATGCACATTGGTTTCCATCATAAATGCATTTATACGTAGATTTAGCCCGCGTTCGATGTCTCTCGGACGGCGAAGATTCTACGCCGTCCGGCCAATCACGTTCCATAACCGCAACCGAGCCCCCGCTGAACTTGGACGGGATTGGCCGGACGACGTAGAATCTTCGTCATCCGAGAGACATCGAACGCGGCGGGTTAGTGTTTTATTTTGAGAGCTGTATTTGATACATCATAACTTTTTCGGCTGAAGTATTTCATGACGGCCTATCCTGGTCGGTGTCACAGGCCCGAGCCGGCCCCGTGACGCTTTTCGAGTCCTGGTATTTCTTGTTTGTTTGTTTATTGGGGCTTTAGGGCGCGTCGACTGCAAAGGTCATTTTGCGCCCATAACGTCGCGCTAGTAAAACAAGTGTTTCAATAGAAGAAACTTTCTAGATATCAAGACTAGAAAGTAGAAGACTTTATAAAAAAAAAGACAGGGTAAAATAAAACAACGCAAAAGCGTCGTAATAGACAACTGGCAATCACTCGACCAATCCGCAAGCCGTCTGCTGTATTAGATAACATCATTCCTCTTGTCATGCTTTAGAAGAAACAAAATTTGGTGCTTTTAATTAGGGCCACCGTGGCACGAGCCACGTTGTCAACCCAGTTCTGAAACTGTCCCGCTTACCATGAATCCACAATCGCTCCACTAAAACCGGAAATTTTTTAGAGGAGGCAAAGGGACCCCCGGCAACATATTGTTCCTCGCAAGAGCACTCAACACCATATCTTCAAAAAATGGGTACCTTGCAACACGGGCCTCTTGAAACATACCGCCAAATAACAAACATTGAAAATGTGACTAGATTATATTCAACATTTTCAAATTTCAAATTAAGTTATACTCTAGACGGCGAATGACTGAATCCCTTACCTCTCATTCCCGCCAGTTGTTCTGATCCAGTGTCTTGTTCATTTATTGCCGTGCATTGTCTATTGCAGTCGAAAAAACAATTAAGAATGACCAGTTGGAAGACTGCAAGAACTATGATAGGAGTACCTCACCTGGCTCTCACGTAGAATGCATGGAGGCATGCATTCTTAAGAAGGTGGTGACCAGTCAAAACCTTACTTGTCTGATACCATGGATGGACCGGAACTCTACACGTGGTTTGATCAATAAACCATTCTGCAACACATCTGAAGGTAAGCTTTTGAGTAGACTGCCTCCCCCTAAAAAACTATTCTGGTACATACCTAACAATCATGCATCGCCCTGAAAAACTCTTTTGTAACGATCAAATTTGGCAGAATTTTCACCTTTTTTCTTGTTTTAAAAGCAAAGCCTGGACATTGGGACCTTCATTCAGGACCAGGATGAACTGAAGTGATTTGCATGTTCAAAACATTTTTTTTTGTTGCTTCGTTTTTGTTTCGTTTCAAACTTTTCATATCGTTTGGTGGTGCAATTTTTAAACTATTGAAATTTTTACCCCTAAAACTTGCATCAAGCTTGAAGAATGAAAATATAATTTTCAAAATTTTCCAAATAAATTAATAGGGTTACCTATTTATTACGAGCGAGCGAGCGCAGCGAGCGAAGCGAGTCTTTTCAATATAACGGAAAAATCTCAGTATGAGCGGCCCGGCCCGACCCGGCCCGGCCTGTAACGCTTTTGAGAGACTTATATCTCAGCAACCGCTGGACCGATTGGCCTGCGATCTTTTTTGCTGGGTAGCCCCATCCCTTCTACCCCGTAATTGACTACTTTTGATACATCTCAGTGACCGTCGTGGCACGTGCCACGTGAAAAGTCAAGGGTGTTCAAGCTGTTTTGGAAAAGCAGTGACTTTGAGAGGCTAATATCTCAGCAGCCGCTTGGGTGATTGATTTGCGGTAATTTTTGTAGGGTAGCAGCATCCCTTCTACCAAAAAAAAGGATACTCTCGATGCATGTGGGTCACCCCCAGTGCACGTGCAAAATACAACAATAAGAGGTGTCAAATTTGTTCCCATTTTAATACCTCGGTAATTACTGGGGCGATTTCGCTGAAACTTGGCATACAGGTAGGCACCCACCAGGCAATGCATTCCCATGTGTTGCGGTTAACCTTCGCCCCAGTGGGGGGGGGGTGCAAATGTTACCACCCTGTCGCGTTTTTTGCGTGTGAATAAAAAACCGCGGCGCGTAGCGCCGCGCCGCTTGGGGCAGCTTTTGGTACATCAATTTTGGACAATGTGTGAAATTTTTTACCTCAGGTCATGTCAGGTCAGGTCACCAGGTCAAGTTAACTGACCAAGCCTAAAAAAAGTTTGCAATCATGTCCAGCTTGCAGTGTTTGTCAGAAAGGTTTGAAACTTGGTGGATTGCATGCTGTTATGGGCGCCTACAATTTGTATATCTCGGATTTTTTATATTTGTGACCTAAGGTCAGGTCAGTGGCGTGACCTTTCCATTACAAGTCAATGGAGAAAAATGAAAATGCCTCTAGATCCGTGTATACGCATAGGAACAGTCCAAATATTTCAAAATCACAATGATTTAGTCCACTCGTGATGACCAAGGTGTCATTTTTGCTGATAGCCTCTAGAAAGGTCATCCGAGGTCATTTGAGGCTACAAACAGGTTTTTGCTAATAACTCGCGATTGGAAAGAGATAGAACGCTGGGGATGGTCTCATTGTGTTTGTCTTGTTGAGACGCATCGACTGATATGCAACATGACCTTTTCCAGTCAGGTCATGACCTTGACCTGAGGTCAAATTTTCAAGTTGACCTTTCAAGGTCGAATTATAGTTCATTCGACGCGTCTCGGTGAGGGGAACACGATTCTGGCAATAGAAATGTCGTGGCTTTTTGTAGTCGAAAGGTATTGTCGAAAAACACTTTTCGTAAAAACAGCTATTTTTGGAGTTTTTGCCCTCTGGAGGCTAAACCGTTGACCTGAGGTCAATATTGATAATGACCTTTTCAAAAGAAGAGTTCAAAAGCTATCGATTGGTTTTCCATGCGTTTTTCTAGCTACCATAGTTCCTGAGATAGCGGCATGTTTTCTGAAAAATATAATGACAATTGGCAAATTTTGACCTTTGATGACCTCTGGTGACCCCAATATTGCTCTAAGGTGAAAAATGACCGAAATACTTTCAAACGTACGCATTGAGAGCTATCGCCTGCTTTTTACCGCGTCTGTCTAGCCCTCTTAGTTCTTGAGTTAGAGGTGGGTGGTAACATATGCCCCCCCCCCACTAGGGCGAAGTTGGCTGAGACCGCCACTGGGGCGCGGGTTAAGGTGCCACTGCACGTGCGCACGTGCAGGGGGCGCTTCCAGATCTCGAGAAGGGCTGGGCCGATTGCGCTCAAATTTGGTAAACGGTTGGGGACCAGATAGTAGGGTGCCGTGCAAGTTTGGACCCCGTTTGCACGTGCGCACGTGCAGAATGCCGCTTCCAGATCTCAGGAACGGCTGGGCCGATTGCGTTCAAATTTGGTACACCGCTAGCGACCGGTTAGAAGGGTGCTTTGCGCAAGCCCGTTGGAAGTACCCTCTCGCCCTTCCGCACGTGCAGGGCTCACTATCTCGCTCGCTCGTTCTTCGCCCTAAAATGCGTTTTACTGGTTTATTAGTTAGCTTTGCCGTGAAAATGCTGATGGTTTTTGTATAGCGTTGCTCTGTGCTAATTTATTATAACGGGTGTGCACTTAGTTTCTGGAAGAAGTTTAATCATCTCTTTCTTTTGAACTATTGAAACTATCAATACAAACTTTGGTATGGTGAATAATTATTCATTTAGCCGTAAGCATGCCAAAATTTTGGCAAATCCGACTATTTTTCATACTTACGATATTTTGTACAGATAAAGACAGAGAAACCATGTTCCAGCATTCAGTAGTTATTAAAGTAGCATAGAGTCAATAAAACCTGGATTCGTAAGCTATCACGATAAACGCTGAGTGCACGGACGAGTCAAACAATCACGGATGGGTGCTGGAATCAGTTCGCCTGAAAGGGAAGCAATGAACACCACCTCGAGAAATAAGCGTTCACTAAATGTGAAAGCTAAGTCCGTTGACCACTTTCCACGCAATCTCCTGGTGTGGACCGCCATATCCCAACGTGCGATTTTCAATCACTTATTTTTGCCCAATGGATGCACTACGAACATCGTTATGTACTGACAGTAGAGCTTAACCCGCGCCCCACTGGGCTCTGCGCATAACGCGCCCTACTGGGTGGGGTGGGGGTGGGGGGCGCTCTTCATAGACCCCCCCCCCCTCCTAACTCCGAAACTACTGGGCCGATCGTCAAAATTCAAACGGCATCTGATAGCCTCGGAAAAGTTGTCGAGCGAAACCTAATTTCATTGACCTCGAGGTCACCGATGACGTCACAGGTCAGGTCAACGTAAAAACTATCGATGCTTAGCTTGTTCACATTTTGGGCTCTGGCCGCGTCTTTAAAGTCAGATCAGGCTCATTTTTGTTTACACACTCGTGAACAGATGTTTTAGATACCCTGAGGGTACCAACTTGTTCTTTGATTTTCCGGTCAGGGGCAGGTCATCACAGGTTACAGAAATATTATATACAGAAAAATTATATATCATGCGTCGGTCACGTGACACATGTTTTATGGTCCATTTAGGCCATAGATTTATAATTCGATGTCGTTTTTGTAATTGGAGGTCATTTTAAGTTCAATTTATTTAGCTCAGGTCAGGTCACTTTCAGGTCAAAAAGGTAAAAAGTTTTTTTTTTCAACTAAAAAGATGTCTATCGGATGCAGTTTCAGCTCAGGAATACGATGGTGTTATTTATATTGGTGTACAATGTAAAATACGTACTGAAAATTGATTTGAAAAATTATTAAGTGTGAATTTTTTGCTATAACGCATATAACTTGGCCATTTTGAAGATATTTGGCTAAAACTTGCTAGAGTAAGTCATAAGCCTGTGTTCTATCACATATATTACGGTTGTTTCGAAAAGTAAAAAAGCAAATGAAAAAAAGATAAAAAGATAAATTTTGAATTTTATTATAATTATTTTCAAAAATTTTAGAATCTTGAAAATCCTAGATAGCAGTTTGATAGCGCAGTCTATTCTAAGTCCTATCATGCAAATAAATTGGATGTAGTTTAAAAACTGATCTCTTGGGAGCAATTGCCGTGGTTCAATGTTTTGCGTCGAAATCGGCCGAACATGACGTCACTCTGACGTCACTTCCGGCCGACCTATGGTAGCTACGAAGTTCATATTTTGGCACAAGGTGTCAAATTGATGCAGCCGAAGGTGCTGAAAGTTTGGCGTCGATACGTCAAGCGGTTTGGAAGTTATTGCAGAAAAACGGGAGGGGGCTATGACTAGACGTTATGCGTATGACTAGACGTAGACGTATGGGCGAGAGTTAAATAAAGACATTCTGTCACATTAGGAGCAGCACTAACCTAGGAAAGCATACTCGTAGATGTCATGATCACACCACAATGCAACTCATCGCACGCGGAGCACTGAATCTGGTGGATGGGGCACATGTACCGTTTATAAGCCACGAAGAGAATCTTCTTGGCATATCTCAACGGCGACCGTATGGGGACCTTCAAAGCAAACATCGTACTAAGGAAGAAGTTAAGTGCAGATAAAAGCATATTAAAAGTCAAGGACCCTCTGACCACCGCCACACATGGGCCCAGAGGTGCCGCGCAATTTTAACAGAAGGGCGTTTCATAGCACTCGGGTTGTAGACCGCCTGAGAGCAGAGATCGACTTGTTCTTTTGATAACTGTTAACTATTGTTGCAATTTACATATGTGCCAAATATCTTAATCTAATTTCAAACACTTAAGATATGGGAGCACAAACTTTTTCCAGAAACTCAGTGCACTCCCGTTGCTGCGCAATACTGCCTAATAACTTTGCTCTTTTCCAGACTTTTTCAGAAGCCGTAATGTGGCGTGGAGAGTTTTTCAAGGGAACATCAGTGATTGCAATGACCTGTGTACACCAAGCTGCGAGCAGCTGAATATCCTGGTCAAAATAATGGGTAATATCAAGCCAGCCGTCTTCGGCAACGAACAACGTCATAGCTTGATCTTTATCGTGTCCAATGAAATGGATGAATTCAGAAACAGACCAGCATACGGCTGGGGTGACTTCGTCTCAGAGGTGTTTGGGTCACTCAGTTTTGTCCTCGGTATTGCCTTTGTAGCCCTGATTGACTGGGTATTTGCAGCATTGCTATGGCTCTGTGGGAAACTCCCCTACATCCCAGCAATGCCGCCTATCCTAAACTCGGACATTTACATCCGTGACATCTACTATAAAGTCAGACACGAGCTGTATGGTGAACCGATCCCAATGACCATATCACAGACGTACTTGAAAAAGCATGAGCGTAGGAGGGATGCGGTCAAGGCCGCTGCTCAATCTACAGCAGAGAAAAAGGACAGTGACCACCGGCGACCTCAGTTCCCACGCATGCATCTAAGAAAGTCTAGTCTGGCTTTAATGTCAGAAGCATTTGCCGCAGTGTCGCAACAACACGAAGAAGAAATATTGATGCAGCAGTTTAAGAGCTTGTCCGATATTATTCGACGGGGAAGCACCGTAGCAGATAGGAGTTTGCAGAGGCGTCGCTCGTCCTTCCCTGGAGACCGTGTGTCTCAACAAACCAGCGCATCAATGCGCCAACCATCAGGAGCGACCGCATCAAGTTCTCATGGCATGCCAACGATGTGGTCAGAGCCAAAAATAACGATAAGCGCACCTGACGAAGATGATGTTCGACAAAGGTCACAAACGTCGTCACCTGAGAGCCCAGCAGATGACGTCGAGCAAGGAAGACAATCGGCAGATCAAGGCGCCCCGGGACAAGAGGCCATCGACACTGGTCAACCGCCGCTGACGCCGGCTAAGAGCGGGCTGCCGGGCATAGACCAGCAGCGTCGGCCGTCGCGGGCCGCCTCTGTAATGCGAGACCTGGACGCCGCCGAGGCGAGCCCTTCAACAGCCGAAGGAGCGGCTGCACCGCAGCCCCCGGCCCAGGGACAGAGACGTGCCTCCTTATATCGCACTAAACCGCGGCGAAAATCGCACGCGGTCGCGCCGGCTCCGGTCCCATCGATCGCAGAATCGAGCGAAGGCGAAGAACCGCCGGACTAAGCTTTAGTGTACCTGTTCGGTTATCTAGGTTTTTACATTGTGTTGCCTGTGTTGTCGTGACGACTGGAAAACCATGACCGAGCCGAGTCATTTGGGTGTCCATTCTTCGTGCCCTGCCAGTGACTTGAAGCATTGACCGTTTTGTCTTTTACTGAACCTTGATGTCATATGCTACTTATGTCCAGCAGACACGGAAGCCGATGCGCTCGCTTATGTCACATGGTTACAAGTGCAGACGGAATGTGTTATGTTGTGTGCTACTCAGAAGCAAACCACTTGACTTTGCTGGGGCTTTACAGACGGATGTGATTCAGTGAAGCTGTTAGGTATCGCGGAGCGCATTTGATGTAACTGGTTGTATTACCAGCACCAAGCTCATCATCATACATTATATCAGCATGCATACACTTGCAGGGATCTAGTGTTCGTATGGTTTAACATTGACCTTTCAGGTGGAGAGAATATTAGCTCTCGCCCGTATCGGCATTTTCTCAGCCGCTAACGTATATGTAGAGGGGGATCCATCGGATCCCCTACCAAGATGTTTGGCCCCTGATCAAGCTAGAGCTTCGCGGGAAAAAGAACGAGCGTGCTGCCCATAACGAAAGAAAGCAATGATGCCTAGTTTTAAGTTCATTGGTTGACCTTCCAGGTGCCAGGTCAGTGACACAAAGGTCAGGAAAAACAGGACCTGCTAGGACTTCATACAAAAAGTAATGCTGTTATGGGGTTTTCCTGGTACTGATTTTGTATTTCATTTTATTTCAAGTTTTGATCAAAGCTAGTGTCTCCTTTGTCTCCTAACAATTCATCTATCGCCAAAATATTGAACCCGATTTCAATGCTCCCGTACAAATGCACTATGAACATATCTTGCTTTTGCAAAATTGAGGTTGAGCTTCTATTTAAGGCGTGTGCGTTAAGTAATTTGTGCTGTCTGGTGAAAATTGTTGTCACCTATAACGACGTACCTGTGACAAAATTAAAACCGAAGATAGTAGCTTTTTAATGGCGGTTTTAAACTGAATTAGTCGAACATAAAACATGTGTGGGCATACCATTTGATTCAAGGTCTTAAAATGTTGCACAAATTGCTTTCATAGTGATATTATACGGGCATTATGGAAACATGATGAAGTTATGTGTTTAGCGATTCAAACTCAACGGTTTTCACATGATGTCAAGCTCGACAGTGAAGAATGCTGTAATACCTGAAGAGTCGGATACATCTAAAACTGCCACAGAAAGCAGTAAGTGAAACCTCAAAGTTATCAAGTGAGGTCATATGAAACTTGCAATTAAAATAAGTACTAACGCACACGAAGATGAGCCTTATCATAACTTTAGCCGCCTTCATTGTTTCGCAACGTACTTTTCCATGAACTAAATAAATCAAGCGAATGCCTAATTGCTTCGCTTGAGCACTCAAATATTTCAAGTGCTCTCTGTTGATTAGTCATAACTGTCATTAGATGGACTTAAATCATTTATTTAAAAAAAAAAATAATAATGTACCTAACAAAAGTAGGAATGCTAGCGTTTTGAATTGTATCCAAACAGATAGTAGATTCAAATAATACATATAATTTTGCTCTTTTTCCGCACAAACACACCGAAAACTGATTTCTGGTCACAATAGAGATAGGTATACACATTACACAGCATAATGTTGCCTAGGTTTAACAGCTTTGATGATCAAATTCAATGTAAAAATTACGTTACGTTTTCGTAAAGAACCCTTTGCTTTCAGGTGAAGCAAACATCAGACGCTTTTGCAACTACATTCTCAAGAAGATACCTCGCACCATGGCAATTATGGCGTGCTTCGTTGGTTGTTGTTACTTCCTAATCGTTTCGGCGAATCGCCTTGATTCTGATGTGATATTACAAGTAAGTATTGTAATTGTTCGGCAAAACACAATAAAACCAACGCAACCATAAAGATTAGTTATGCAAATAGTTATGAGATGATGAACTAATTCGACATAATTCATCGATTAGATTAGATAGTGTAATGACGATGAATTGATTTGATGTTATTCACCGATTGTTATCGGTCCTGTAACTTGGTTTCAAACTAATATAACTGATGTCGTAATCTCGTTGCAGGAATTCAAGGCGACCAGTTCAGTGAGCAAGGAAAACTTGCAAATAACAGTTTGCCCAGTAGCACCGTTTGACCCGATTCAAACATTGGACTTCAAAGCTCACACGAAAAGAGCGAATTATCTAAGAAAACTTGATACCACTTCGCTCAACTCACATGACTTTTCCAAGAATTATATCAGAGCAATGAAGTGTTTGTACGCTAGCAAATACTCACACGAAGATGAGCCTGTAGAAGAAAAGATACATTCGCTGGCACTACATACAGAATGCATGACCTTCGCAGGGAAGCTTTTCACATCCGATTATCCCAACGATCTTCTAGAAGTCTATACCTGGTTTAGAACTTTTCTCTCACTAAAAATGCTTGAGCTTGACAGAGAAGGTGATGTCGATTCTTACGATGAAATTTACAAGAACATTGATATTTTGAAGCAAGACAACTCCACGCTGTCGCAATATCTAAAAGATGTATCCCGAGATATGGAAGAATTTTTTACAAGTGACTTTACTTCTGTTGACAACATTAACCTGAATAAGCCCGCCCAAAAAGTTATCGTGAACAATGCATTTATAACACGTTTTGGAATGAAATGCACCAGTTACACCCTAGCAGACAGCGAAAAAGGAAAAAAGTTGAACCAGAGATATCAGCTTCAGATGACTTTTAACAGGTAAGAATACGCCGGTTGGCTCATTAAATCAATTCCGAGCGGGGAAAAATTCGTGCGCCTCTCGCGGGTAAGTACGGGCGAGCGCAAAACGCATGCACGACCCACTTAAGCCCGGCATCTCGCGCGCTTTTTTTTAACCATCGTCGGATAGGTGACTTGCCTTTTCAAAGCATTGCGCGGCACCTTACTAGCCGGATAAAAACGGGGTGTTCCGCTGTGGATGTAAAATCCGGACGGGTTGAGTTTGAAACCCCGAATCGACAACGGCTTTTCATGTTTTTTTTTTCAACTCGGCTGAGCAACTCGGCGTCATGATCATGCATCGTTTGCTTTTGTTTCAGGGTGGAATTTTCCTACCTGCTGGTGTTTGTGAACGAAAATCGCACATTCAGCGACATCCCCGGTGCAACATTGATTCAGCCATACCGAATCCCACTGGACACTACCAGCATACTCCACATTCGAAGAAGTGAGTTCTCTTGCCCACGGGTTGTGAGTAGTTGCAAGGCTGCGGACTTGGAAAATCATATATTCCAATTTTGGGCCTGCGTTCTAGCGTCAAGGTCAAAATAATCAGCAAATGACAGGAAACGCTGCAGGGCAGGCGCTAAAGTGAGGAGGAGGGGCTCCGGGCAGTAGTTCCTCAACAGGTGGGTGGTTCCTTTTCGTAAAATCCGAACGAATAAATCCGTTGGGATTCTGAAACCATCATTCAAGGTGCCAGTTTATGCAATCAAACACTTCCCGGAACTCAATGATGGACATTAAATAACGGTTATGAATTATGACGTAAATTTTATGTCAGTAATATCATCCAACTTGAAGCTCATGGTTATTAAGATGGTCTTTTTGGCACCTAAGGGTTTGTTCTGGCCTCAGGGTTGCTTCTGATCTGAAAGGGGCCTTCAATGAAAGGGTAGAAACTTGGTGCTTGTGCTCATTATAATTCGTGATGCTCCCGCGACATGCTCGGATCAGGGTGCACGCTGACTGGATAAGGGACCTTCCTACTCTCGCCTTACGACTGCCGTCTGTAAGTGTCCGCGCTGGGTTACGGGAGACCGGGAGGCCCACAATGACCGACGCCGTCCTCAATGAGTCCAGCAAAGGTCATAATATTTCAACACTTGTCCGAGTCTCAAGGCAGCCTTAGACACCAGCGAAGCCTTAGCCTTGATAGTGTAGCCAACTTATTTTGAAGATCAACGGCTTATGTTGGTGATACAGCCGTGCAGCCCAAGTGTTTGTGATGCAGCCGGCGCGACTATGACTTTTAAATGATCTTGAACACGACTAGCATTGGTAATTGAGCTTAAATAATATATGTATATGTATATATATATATATATATATATATATATATATATATATATATATATATATATATATATATATATATATATATATATATATATATATATATATATATATATAATATATATATAATCGTTCAAAAAAATCACGTGTAAAAGATAAGTTATTTCACTTAAGCGTGCGTGTATTACGTAGTACAAAAACGGATTCATCTCAATATGCATGGATGGGCCGCTGCGACTGTGGGACCATCTTGTTGACAAAGTTACCCCGATACGAAGTTGTTGGCGTCGGCCCGGGTGCCGTTCGTCAAAAGCCCCCCACACCCACACCAAAAAAAAAAAAAAATAATAATTGCATATTCAGAAGATGTTTTCGATCCATCTTCTGATCATGATCTAGTCTTGAGAATAGAAGCCTAAATCGCAAAAAGTAATTTATTTGTATGGTTTGATCAATAGCTGCAATTTTTCAGGGATTTGAGCTATGCATTGGTCGGGGAACTAAATGAATCCTCAGCCTCCCTGTCGCGCCACCTAAGGTCTGATTAAGTGTTGTGTATTTTTAACACTGCATTTTTTTGCAGTCGAGAAAACCATTAAGAATGAGCGGTTAGAAAACTGCAAGAGCTACGACAGGAGCACCTCGCCTGGTTCCCATGTCGAATGCATGGAAGCATGCATCCTTAAGAAGGTGGTTACCCATCAAAACCTCACTTGTCTGATGCCGTGGATGGACCGAAACTCTACACGTGGTTTGATCAATAAACCATTTTGCAACACATCCGAAGGTAAGCTGTTGCACTGAGCTCCCCATGCGTAATGCAAACTGCACTGCACGATCGAATAGAGAAATCCAGACATTTGAAAAGGACGCAAGTTATATCTCGATTTTACTATCTTCAAAATACAACATGCTGTCCCTCAGATAATCTCCCAGCCTCGACATTTTGTTTCCATCGCATAGTTGCATTGTATTGCTCGTATGTGAAGCTGTATGTGAAACAGCTTCCAGTCTTAGGGCCGAGGAAATTTATGCAATTTTAGATTGGATTCTTAACAAACAGCTTCTCTGATCTGACAGCACTCGAAAGTTTTTTTTTCAAAATTGGCGCAGAATTCCTTTTCCGACCCTGGAAGAGTTAGGTATGTTGGAAAATTGAGTGGGTGACTTTAGGCCACTGGGAGCTCAGCTTCATATAGGTATGTATAGTCGGTCAAATATGTATCTTTCCCGGCCGCCAAGTGGCGCTACGGTCTGGATTCGATAGTTGGCTGAGCCCACACCCCAGCTGCCCTGGCGGCTCTGGCGGCCCTGTGACGTCACGCGCGGGGGGCGGAGCTACACAGCGGCCGGCTGGAGAGTGACCGCAGACCAGAGGCCAGTTTTACCAACAGAAAAATAGCAGCCCGGCGCAATTTTTCTGTCAAAAACCAGCCGACGAGTTTCACCAACCAGGCGAAAAAATATCCGCCGGCGTGAAAAAATATCAGCCATAAAAATAGCCAACGAGTTTCACCAACGGCAAATGCGGCATTAATGGAGTGTTTATCTGCGCCATTATATGTAGAAAAACAGCCCCAAAAAATAGACAGGCGACCCCGTCTATTTTTTTGATGTCTTGTGGGGATAATTGGCCTCATTTGTTACTAATTATCGTGATTTGCGCTTCTCAGTTGATATAATAATTTAGTATCATTCATGGCCAATTTGTAAAGCATCTGGGCTTCAAGATTAGAAGAGGAATACTGATGATATTGCGTAAAGAAAGAGCCTTTGTCACCAGGCAGGACCAAAAGGAACCAACAAGACGGGTGTTTGGTGTTGTGGTGTTAGTTTTTTCGTTTTATATTATCTTTTTGCTACCAGCACCCAACAGCAAGATGATAGCGCATTAACTAGTGGTCAGCTTACAAGTTCATTGCTCGCACGGAAGTGGAAAATAATGATGGAAGGTCATTTTCGAAAATCGAAGGTGATTGAAGAAATGCTGGAAGGAGAGGCAGAGAGGGTAGGCTCATTGGACTCAAGATTTTAAATAAATATGTCACTGTTTTCACATATTCATCTACATTTGACATTGCAAGGTGCCAGCTACTGATACCACTACTACTTTTGGGTGGAACTTACTCGAGCTGTGCGGCATGGTGCATTGACATTGCTAAGACCAAAATGGCAAGATTTTCAAGATATAATAATTCAAGATAGTAATTCAAGATAATTCAACTCAAGATAGAATAAATTTAAAAAAAGAAATTGAATAGCATGAAAGAAATGTATAAAGGCTTGTTTTTTAAGCAAAACGTGCAAAGTTTGCATGGTTGCGAACCCGAACAAACTTGCTGAATGCTGTCATAAGATTGTGCCACTGAACTCAGCAAGTCATGCTGCCAATATTGAAGGAAAAGAAAATAATAGTAATGTTGTAAAATGTAAATGAATCCATAACTGATGTGTGTGCAGTGTGCACTGTGCTGATATTGAATGCATGTGTATCTTGCATGCATGAGTCATGCAGGGATCATGTTAAAACTGGCTGTAAGTATTGTGAGTTAGTTTTGCTAAATTGTGGAGGCACCAGGCAAATTGTGGTCAAAATGTTATTTGTTCACCTCAGCGCTGAAATTTCTGCACACAGAGTTTTCAGATCATGCGCCGAAATGTTCATGCAGCCTGTCCGTTACGCTGGTCATGTTGACAGTGACAAGGATTTTTTCCCAGTCTTATGTTGAAATACAATAATAATTCACTTAGCTTGATTTTAGCTTATGTTTTTCATGCCAGTTCCTAGAATAAGGCAGCCAATATTTTCTGTCATGTGAGAAATAAAATGACAATATGCACAATTGCGGGCTGTGGCATGTTGTGATGTTTTTCCTTGTTTATTGCTGAGGTTTTTCCAGTCTCTGCTGCAAAAACGGTGGTGAATCCACCGTCGTCCGACGGTTTCGATGACGCCAATCATCGGCGAGTGTTGCTGTGATGGCCGACCTGACTGAGCGCACAGCGGCAGCCGCCGTCGCCAATAACGACAGTGAGGACACCTCCGAGTCGGACGGAGACGCCGCCGCGGACGACTTCACCGTGCTGGACGAGGTGGAGCGCTCGAGCCGACAGGCCGTGCACCGCGTGCGCTGCCCGACTGGCTGGCGCACCCGCAGCCGATTGGCGACCGGCGGCCGGTGCCGGCCAATCTGCCGGCGCTCTGCCCCGAGCTGCGCGCCCGGCTGGCCGCCGAGGGCATCGAACAGGTGTTCCTGGTGCAGGTGACGGTGTTGCCCGAGTTGCTGGCGGCCGCAGAGTCGCCGCTGCCACCGGCCGACCTCTGCGTCTCGGCGCCGGCCGGCCGCGGTAAGACGCTGCCGTTCGTGCTGCCGCTGGTGCAGGCGCGGCGCCGCGGTGCGCCGGCCGCCGGGTGCGCGCGCTAGCTGTGCTACCCACACAGGCGCTGCCCGCTCAGGTGCCCGCCGTGTTCCGCCAGTACGACGCCGACACGCCGCTCTGCGTCCGGCTGCTGGGTGGAGACGAAGTATACCCAGCGCCGAGGGCTTCTCGCTAGCGCACCTGCGCTACCTGGTGATCGACGAAGCCGACCGGGTGATCGAGATGGCCGAGACGGGCTGGCTGAAAGCGGTGGAGCGGGTGGCGGCAGCCACGGCCCGCCGCCCTGCATCGCCGGCCGGCTGACGGCCGCCGCCGTCTGCGCGCCTCACCTGCCGCTGCAGAAGCTGCCGTTCTTGGCTACCCTGTCACAGAGCCCGGAGGCCGGAGAAGCTGGAGCGAATGTCGCTGTTCCAGCCGCGACTGCTGGTGGCCGGCACGGCCGGCCGCCGTCGCACTGCCCGGTCAGTTCGTCGGCAGGTTCACCACGCCGGCCGAGCTGAGCGAGTCGTTCAACGTGGTGGCGCCGCAGCCGCTGAAGCCGCTGCTGATGCACAATTTGCTCCGACAGCCCGACTGGCGGCGCTCGCTCGTGTTGGTCAACTGGAACGAGGCAGCGCACCAGCTGGAGCTTCCGCTGTCGGTGCTGGGCGCGCGCGAGGCCGAGTTCCCTGGGGCAGTGCCGGCGGGCCAGCGCGGCGGCGGCGCGCGCCAGCTGAGATGCTGGTGTGCTCGAGGCTATGGCGCGCGGTATTGACGTGGACGCCGTGGACGTGGTCGTGTCGTACGACATCCCGGCGCTGTTGAAGGCACACTGCGTGCGTCGGACGGCGCGCGTTAGCCGGGCCGGCCAGGCGGTCACGCTAATGTTTGAGCGGCAGCGCAGCCATTTCTAGCGGCTGATGGCGCAGGCGGGCAAGGTGGACGGCCGGGTGCGGGAGACGCCGGTGCCGCTGTACGAGCTGCGCCAGTACGAGGCGACCTACGTCAGTGGATTTCCACGCTAGCTTCTAGTTGATCGCTTTTTTCACCTTTTTTACGCTCATCGCTCATGATTTATTTACATTTTAGAAATATTACAATGAATAGGTGTTTACCTTGTCATCAGCCCAGAAAAGTTAAAGTAGGTAAGGCGTTTTTAGTTGCATAATGTATATTTGTTCATGAACACGGATTTAACGTGTCCTAACTCCCAAATACTTCGATATTAGACCCGAGTTTTGCAAACCAGTCGAAAGGCTTAGAACGATCATTTGGTTGGGGCGTAGCCAGACGGCTCGACTGGGCGTGGAAGCCGGCGAAAAGGTGGTCACCACGCGATCATCATGTAAAGCGGTCTCCGTCGGACGATTGTGTCCGTGCGCAACGAATGATCTCGGCACACGTGGACGAGTTCGGCAGGACTCTCCACTGAGCGGTACTGGGCGCAGTCGAACGACGGTCGACGAAGCTAGCGCAGGTATTGTTACGAGCCGGACCAGTGTAGCGGGGCCGGAGCTTATATTGTTTGCTGTGTGGCGTTCCTTCGTCTTGATCGGGCCCGGCAAACGGGGCCTGCATATCGGCTGAAATCACCTAGCCGGGCAGCATGACCTCCACCTCGCCGAAGTGGGGCGAACGACCGCCCTCAGCCCTGCAATGACCGCGGTGCAGTTAATCTGGGTAGGTATCTTCCTGAGGTATGACACTCGCCTTGGCACAAGGCTTTACCCATATAGGCTTTGGCGAATCCTTAGCCCTCTTGGTCCTCTAGAAGTAGGTGTAATGCAGTGCGCGCGAAGCCGCCTCGCAGCACCGCAGTTCACTCGCTCGGCAGCGGAACTGTCCGTCCAGCTTCAGGTGGCGCCTCTGGGAACAATGTTTGTCGCTTCTTCCCCACTCTTTTGACATCTAGGAAAGAGGTGCGACTCCCGCGTCGGGAGCGGGTCCCATCTATTATAGTCCCCACCTCATAAAAGGTGGGAGTGGGGGTCCATACATTGCGTGCACGTTCGACACGATTATTTTCTACGAGGTGCAACTAAAAGTAGACAAAAAGGTTAATTGCAAGTTGAAGGTATTGTAAAAATGAAAAATAATAGGCTGACAGGAAAAAAAGATCCACTAAAACGCACGCTTCCTATCGTGACCGTCATAAATGACGTAGGTTTACAATTTGGTGGTCTTGTATTGGCAAGTTTATTATGGTCTATTTTGTGGTTACAACTCTTGAAAATATATGTTATGTTTTCCAATAATAATATTTCTCAATCTTTGTTGTATTTGCTTTAAAAAAACACGCTTAACTTTATCAGAAACATGTTTTAAATAATTTATCAATCTCCTTGACCATTATCGATATTAAAATATCAGCTGACTGCCGGCGACAAATATTTCCGGCCGATGTTGGCTGGAATTTTTTTGTTGGTGAAACTCGTGGCTGTGTGGCATATTTACGTCTGGACAACGAGTTGCGTTGGAGAGGCCGGAAATAGTGGCGATTTCTGGACCGCAAGAATGGACCGTCATTGGAATGATTCTTTTTCAAACCGTGCACTGTTTTTAGCCGGAATTTAATAGTTACTACAAAATATTTTTGTCATTACATTTGGCTAAGAATGAATGCCATCAGGGAAGGTTTTACTGCCGCTGCATTTTGTCCAGAAACATATAGTGCTGTTATATTGCAGTTTTTGCGCTTTTGTTACAAAATATGAAGCGAACATGCATCAGGCTCTCGTCCATCCACTAAGAAGTTATTAAATATTTTGTTTTGTGTATTCCAAGAGGAGAGGAAACTATTTTATTTGTGCCTTCATTGAGAATTGAAGATCGATCATCAAATTTTCAAGGCAGTTAATCAATCAAACCAAGCATTTAGTCATTCTCGTATAGCAGTGGCTATAAGAAGAAAAGGTTGATAAATACTGAAGTTCAGTCATCTTACTTCAACTTGGCAGCAAGATCCCAGAGGATAAAGGATATAAAAAGTATACCTATCCTGTAAATCAAAGCATTTTGGTGCCTGCAAAGGCTTGCGTTATTTGTGGTGTGCTCGCGGAGTGAGGCTTTGGGCGTTTTTGTTGTGTTTATGTGGAGATTGAATATAACTGTGACCCTGTGTTTGTTTGTGTATTTACTACAGTCAAACATCACATTCACATAAAATACTCACCTAGCTCATAGGTGTACCCTGCAGAATTTGTACTTGTTGATGTCTGGAGCATGAACAAAGCACTAAAGTATCTCAATTATCATTTCCCACATTTTCTGAGCATCTAACATGGCAATACAGCAGTGCAGAGCAGCTTCAGAGAAGAAACACTTTCAATGCACAGACTGACACCAGCCACCCAATGAGCCAGTTCCTCATTTGGCTGTTTCCATGGATGCGGCTTGGCAAAGGTGAGCTAACTTGGCAACGGCTTGACGCGAGCTGTTTTTAAGTTGTTAGCAGGTAAGATTGAGTCATGGTGAGTATCTATCATATAACTGGGTGCTTCTGCTATGAGTAGATTGCAAATATGTGTGATGATTGAGGTTAGGTTAGGTTAGTCAGGGCCCTGTTTCACCAGTGATAGCAGCACGCTGCTTATACACGTGTCAAATTGGGTTTCCATGGAAACATCAACAGGCCCATTGCTCCAACACTACCACAAGTGTGACGTCAGTTCGTGCAATTGGATAGCAGCGTGGTAGCAGCATCCCGTGAAACACCGCCCTGGTCACATTTTTTATGGACACCTGGCAAATTAACTAAAAACTAGCATAACCTAATCTAACCTGACCAAACTAAACCTACACAACTACTAACTATAGGCACTAAGCACCTAAGTTCTTGTGCCTACATCTCATACCAACTCAAAATAAAGTTCCTTGCTGGAAGATAACCCTCCAGTACATTTTATAACATCCCTGTGAAGAAGACTAATACTTCTAAATCCTGAGTCACACTTCTGGCCATCCACAGAAAGAAGCGCTGAGAGCTTTGCTATTGTATATTGGACCAAAGATCATTGTCACGAATGACTATTAACACGTATTATATGATCATATCGTTGCATGGCTTGTCACATTCACAATTTTACTGAAATCCTTTTTCAAGAAATGCAAAGTTTCATTTGCCAGACACTTGAGTAATGCACATTACCATCTGCATAGCAAAGTAAAGCTGCCTGAGTTCGCTCATTCTAGATTTTTTCACTTCATAGTCAGCGCTTCATAGTTATAATCTTGCTGTTATAAGTTATAATTAATTATTCATCCCAATACATCAATAGACAATATGCAATCATCATCAGCAAACATTTTCTGGCTTGATACTGCTCGGCGTACTCTTCAGTATTGATCTCCTGCAATAATATGGCTTGTTTTTAGCCAATAAGCTCTTTTAATTTTACTTTTATTGCTGATAAGTGAGCCAGATCAACCTGCGTTTATCAACCAACATTTCATAACTTCAACTTGATCTTGCTCAGGACGATCAGGACCTCTCTTAGCCTCCTCCTGGATACTTGGGATTGTTTTCAGTCAACATGCTTCTTTAATATGCTATAAGTCAATCACAAGAGATTTAAGACATCCAACAAAACGTACACGAGTACACGAGTACGAAAACCTCCAGATGAACTCGAAAAAGGCCTTGGAACAGAGCCAAGTGGTGCTCCGTTTGTTTGTTTACAATAATAGTAGTACTGATGTATTGTTTTAGGACTCTAACGTTCGGCTTATAAAAATTGAAACATTTTTACAAAATCTGTAAGGCAAGTAATATTTCTCTGAAAGAACTAAAATATTCAAAAGCCAAACACTATGAAATACAGGAATCGGAGCGAAAAAGTAACCCAAAAAACCAGCCTAATCACCGACTCCTAAAACTGCGACAAAATCAGCACTTTTCCCCGCAACTCGTTGTCCAGACGTAAATATGCGGCTGTGTGGCGGCTATTTTTTCGGCTGGATATTTTATTTCGGCGGCCGGCTGCTATTTTTTGGTAAAACTGGCCTCAGCACTGGACGGCCTCGCCGCCGGGTGCTCCGGCGGGTCTGGCCGGGAGAGGCGAGCAAGCGGATGCGTTAGGAATCTAACGAATGTGAGGGCAGCGCGATGGTCTAATGATGGCTGTGCTTTCATGCGCCGTGTAAATTGAAGACTGAGTGCTATGAGCTATCAAAGGATTATCTGGTGTTTCAACAGGGGTCGCTGACCTAAAAATTAAGATGGTTGCTCTTGATACGATTGAATGCTTGGTGATATGATGATTAGCGCAAGAGAAATATTTAATCGAATTATGACCGGTTATTTTTTGATAAAGCAAAAACTTTTTTCATTTTTTTTTTTGCATTAACGGGAAAGCGTTAAGCCATATCTACTGAAAATCTTAACCTGCGCCGGGCGGGGGGGGGGGCGATTTGCGTCCCCCCAGGTTTTTCGCAGATAGCCGAAAAACGGCAGCGTGCAGCGCCACCAAATTTTGCATACCTGTTTTTCCATCTATTGCGCATACTGTGTGCGAATTTTGACCTTATATGACATAAGGTCAGGTCAACAGGTCGGTTTGAGTGACCTAACGTCACAAAAAGTTTGAACTTGCACCAAAGCTACAACTGTTGACCGATCGATATGAAACTTTCAGGAGTTAGTAAGGGTGACAATATCCACAAAATGTATGTCTCGGATTTTTTATCTATGACCTGAGGTCAGGTCAATCTCACAACCTCCCCATTATAAGTCAATGGGATAAATTTCAACTTCATCTGAATGCCACCCGATCCACACAATATATTCAGGATCATGGTGTTGCAGGTCCCTGGTGGTCATTCTACCGAAAGATGTCACCGGTGACCTTTGGAAGGTGTCGCTAGGTCATCCGAGGTCACCTGAGGTCACCAGCGGGGGTTTTCTGCAATAACTTTTGAGTGAATAGAAATAGAGACTCCGTTCGACGTTTATCATGTTTGTCTGATCAATGCGGATCGAATGATATGCAACATGACCTATTTCAGTCAGGTCATGACCTTGACCTTAGGTCAAATTTTCAACTTGACCTTTCGAGGTCACATGATATAGCTTTCGATGCGCTTTGACAAGCTAAGAACGATGACGTTCGAATCGATCCTTTATCTTGTCTGGATCAAAAGCTATTTAAGAAAAAGTATCAGAAGTAAAAACGTTTTTTATCGCTCTTTCGAACGCCGCCTACCGCTTGTCTCTACGACGCTCAGGAGTCGAGTTAGACGGGGGGGGGGGGCGTAAAACCGCCCCCTCCTAAAACAACCTCCTAAACCAACCCTCCTAAAGATTTCTGCAACCGTTCTACCCTCATCACTCAACTGAATGATTCTCCCCTTTTCAAAAACGGTGCAGTGATACGGCATCTCAAACCTAGAGCGACTACACTCAAGTTCAAGCTAACGGTCTCCACTCTCCAATTCAGATACCTATCGAAACCTTTCCGCGACCCGGTGCTGTGGCTCAATCAGTGGGCCAGCTGGCCGCAGACCATACCCGCAGGGCATGAACCTTTGACCATATTAGGTCAACACGCCGTGGCCCCAGCCCGCTCGCCAAGTCCGCGCTCATTGGCCGACGCGGCAACCGCACAACCTGTCCCCTCCCCTCCGTAGTACTCGCAGCGGCCGGCGGATTCAGCCAAGTTACCGACCTGCCCAGCTTGGGGAGGGCCGGCCGGGAAAGATACATATTTGACCGACTATACATCGTCCAATCCATTCATGGATTAGATCGACGAAAATGTTTTTGCTGGTTGTTAAATAGGTATCGTTGTTATTTGTTAGATAAGGATGTTGTTCACTTGCGCCATTCAAGTAACCCTTTTATCTTTCAGAATTTCTCAGAAGCCGTGATGCAGTGCAGAGTGTTTTTCAAGGAAATACCAGCGATTGCAACATCGAATGTACAGAAGGCTGCGAGAAGCTGAATATCCTGGTGAAGATTATGGGTATTGTCAAACCGGCCATCTTCAGCAACGAACAACGCCATAACTTGATCTTTATCGTGTCCAATGAAATGGATGAATTCAGAAATAGACCAGCATACGGCTGGGGTGACTTCATCTCAGAGGTGTTTGGGTCACTCAGTTTCATTCTTGGTATTGCCTTTGTAGCCCTGATTGACTGGGTATTTGCAGCACTGCTATGGCTCTGTGGGAAACTCCCCTACATCCCAGCAATGCCGCCTATCCTAAACTCGGACATTTACATCCGTGACATCTACTTTATAGTCAGACACGAGCTGTATGGTGAACCGATTCCAATGACCATATCACAGACGTACTTGAAAAAGCATGAGCATAGGAGGGATGCGTTCCAAGCTGCCCCGTCTACGACAGAGAAAACGGACAGTGACCACCGGCGTCCTCGCCCTCAGTTCCCTCGAATGCATCAAAGGAAGTCTAGTCTGGCTCTAATGTCGGAGGCTATTGCCGCAGTGTCGCATCAACACGAGGAAGCAGTATTGATGCAGCAGTTCAAGAGTTTGTCCGAAGTTATTCGACGTGGAAGTTCTGTCGCAGATAGGGACTTGCAAAAGCGCTCATCCTTCCCTCCCGGCGGCCGGTCTCAACAAACCAGCCCATCAGTGCGCCATCCGTCTGGAGCGACCGCATCAAGTTCTCATGGCATGCCAACGAAGTGGTCGGAACCAAAAATAACGATAAGCGCACCTGATGAAGACGATTATAGGGAAAGGTCACAAACGCCGTCACCCAAAAGCGAACCAGATGAAGCTGAGCATGAAAGTCAACCGGAAACTCAAGGCGCCCCGGGACAAGAGGCCATCGACACTGGTCAACCGCCGCTGACGCCGGCTAAGAGCGGGCTGCCGGGCATAGACCAGCAGCGTCGGCCGTCGCGAGCCGCCTCCGTGCTGCGAGACCTCGACGCTGCCGAGGCGAGCCCTTCAACGGCCGAAGGAGCGGCTGCACCGCAGCTCCCGGCCCAGGGACAGAGACGTGCCTCCTTATATCGCACTAAACCGCGGCGAAAATCGCACGCGGTCGCGCCGGCTCCGGCCCCCGCGATCGCAGAATCGAGCGAAGGCGAAGAGCCGCCGGACTGAGCTTTAATGCACTAATTTGGTTATCTAGGTTTTTACATTGTATTGCCTGTGTTGCCGTGACGACTGGAAGCCATGGCTGAACCGAGTCATTTGGGTGGCCCTAATTCGTGCCCCGCCAATGACTTGTGTAGCATTGACCGTTTTGTCTTTTATTGAACCCTGATGTCTTACGCTACTAATGTCCAGCAAGCACGGAGACTGATGCGTTCGCTTATGTCACAAGGTCCGCGTGCATGTGGAATGTCCTTTGCTGTGTGCTGCTCACAAAGAGACCAACTGACTAGTTGATGTGGCTGTACAGACGGATATGATAAGGTGAAGCATGGTCAAGCTGTTAGGCATCGCGGAGCGCATTTGCTGTTGCTGATTGTATTAGCAGCAGCAACCCTGTCATTATGCACAAATATCGTCATGCAGTGTACTCGCCGGATGCCGGTGTTCTCATATCGCACAGAAGAAGTTCTAATGCTCTTATTAGAGCATACCAGCTGAGTTCGTGGGAAGGGAAGCACCAGCCTAAACACGTCTGTTTGGTCTACAGTCGTGTATTTCAGCGCACACACTGACAGGCCGTAACACGACAGCACATTCGTGTGTAAGCTAGATAGACATATATACTTGGAATGCGTACCATGGATAACTCGTCCATATCACCATCACAGAGCTGATACAAAACATCTGCCCGTGGTCACCGGCGCAGAGGCCGGCTGTGCGCTCCCAGGCTCCCTTATTCGTCCGATCGTGTCAACTCGCATTCCGCCGCCGTTAGACCGGTAGCATAAGGTAACATGCTCGCATTTGGATACATTCGGCCTATACGCACACACCCTGTCCTGAACAGCGGGGCTAGCCGCACCTCTGATAGAATCAGTTCTCGATGCGCGGCCCAACGGCACCCCAGTGGGAAACTCGACCGGTGTCCAGGTAGACAGCAGACCTCCGCGCGACACCATCCGTCTCATGCACCTGCCAGCCCCGTGTCTGGCCACCTCTCCTGCCGCGGGCCGGACAGTCTCGCCCAGACTACCCAGCAGTCGGCCCCGCCAGTACCGTCCGAACTATGTGCCCAGTAAGACGGAGCCCCGGCCAAGGCCAGCGCCACACCGAATCACCACGGCCGAGCGGCGTGTGCGTGCTCCACGGCAACCTCGGGCGCTGGGCGGCGGCGGAGGGCCCGCAGTCGCTCCCAGACGAGCGCACCGACTAGAAAATATGCACGCGTCGGCAAGATACGCGAGATTCGAGCGCAACAGGCGAAACAAACGCAACATCAACAGTCCCCGGAATAGACATGCCCCAGGGATAACTATCAACAGCGTGCGCAGGCCCACGAGGCTGTCACAAACGGTCGCAAAAATCGTAAGTAGCCCCGTGTAGCCCGCAGGCCTTAACAACACTATATAAATATCAGAGGACAGCCCACAGGGCAAGACAGGCCGATCGGAAGGCCCTTTAAAGAAAACCATCCTGGCATAGTCGCAAAGTCCCCGAGAGCACAGAAAAGTTGAGCTTCGTTCCTCCATTGCATATGGAGTTAGCCACTCGTTGAGATACTTTTCCCTGTCCGTGAGTCCACGGGAAGTGATGAAATACTAAACGAAAGTACGAACCAAGAACGCAGTGACTGGAGAAAGTTTCACAGCTCCGAAATCGACCAGTGGTCGCCGACACGGCGTACGGAAAGGCTCGCCGTCCGACCGGCCGGTGCGGCCGACGGCCCCCTCCCTCCCTCGCCCTCCCTCTCTCCAGCGACGCCGACTGAACGTGCGCACAACCCCTGGTCGACCGCTGCCGCTGCCGCCGCGCCGGATGCCGCCCGTGCTGACACGGACTTAGTCCAAGGGCCAGCGTACGGGCCGTCATCAGCGTAAACAACTCAGACCTAACCGGTGCACGCGTGCCCGTGAAAACTAAACAAGCGCCACGCTTCTCGGTAGTACACCGCAACACAAATGTTACGAAGCCACACGGAAAGCGTGCCGACCGCTGTCCCGGCGCAGGGCGGCGCCGGCTCGCCCAGCTACTGTGAGGCTGGAGAGAGCCGGTCCCGGCAGCGTCATCCCTCGGTAAAATTTAGCCGCCGCCTCACAAAGTTCTTACACACCAAACCGCGCAACACGTAAACAAGGCAAAACTGGCGCGCGTCGCGTCACCCGGCGCCGACCGACTGCCGTAAAAACCCCATCTACCGCACTAACCGAGAGTGAACGACGAAAGACTGTCGGGGGTCCGGCCAGCTCACCTAACAACTCCGGCAGCTCTCCAGCTGGCCCGCTAGCCCACCAGCTGGCTAGCTAGCCCACCAGACTGGTCGGCTAGCCCACCAGCTGACTAGCTAGCCCACCAGCTCGCCAGCTAGTTCACTAGGTCACCGGTAGGTCGGCTACCGAACTGATCCGTCAGCTCACTAGCTCATCAGCAAACTAGCAAGCCAACCAGCCAGCCAGCTCACAGGTCAATTCTCTAGCCTACCTGCAAGCTCTAGCTCTACAGTCTGGCTCTAGCTCTGCCTTCTAGCTGTTGGCTCGCCGGCCGGGCTCACCGTTCACAATTCGTCGCCACTCTCGGGTCGGTAGAAGGGGTCGAGCGCGGCGGCCGGTCGGATGCGGGCGCGCGCGGCGCCGGAGCCCGACCGCAGTCGCCAGGGGTTGTAGACGTGTCCTCAGGTGGTCTGCGAGTCGATCGACTGGGAGCTGGTCAGCAGCCGGTAGCAGGGCCGGCACACGGGCGACGGCTCGCCGCCCAGGTGGCCCGGCAGCCTCAGACACCGGTCCAGACACCGCTGGCAGAAGATCTCGCCGCATCGCCAGCAGTGAAACTGAAAACGGCATAAGCGACAGCGGTTAGATGGAGTCAAACGCCTGTATCTCAATGCATAATATGAAACACTCGTGAGAATCTACGTGGTATTTCTGGCTATGTTTGGATACAGATCCCTAATGATCTGGAATTTAACAAGGAAATGAACGAAACGAACGAAATGATTCTGCTCCATCTCAGCAAAGAGGCATCCCATCGACACAGGACCAACCCAATACTCACGGGTCGAAAATAACCTTTCTTCGCGTTGCAAAGCAAGAGGGTCAGTCACCCTAGCCCATTGCTACTTGGTTATTTCAACATCCACATGGTACATCATTCATAGTCGGTTCGGGGTACAGCCTCCCTCTACTTCAATAAGATCAAACAGGATTCACACTAGCCCCATGACACGACACCTGTCCTGGGCCACGCGCACCTTTTTGCTGAAGTGGTCGAAGGCGGTGGTGCAGCTGCACTCGCGTACACCCCTGGGCGAGGCCCACTCGATGGCTACCGAGTCGAGCTCCCTGGTCAGCTGGTCGGCCGTCAGTGGCGGCAGCTGCAGGTTGGCGTTCACCTGGCGGGAGGGAGCGGGAGGTGTTAGGTGGGGAGGGTGAACGGGAAGGGGGAGGGGTGGCGAATGACCTGTTAGCTCAGTTGAGTGTCAATTTATTGACCGAAGTCCCAAACCCCGATATTTGACTTTGCGTTTAGCATACTTGCATTAAAGAAATACTCGTCTACGCATTAATCACATTATTTCCTCGCTGCAAAACAAACCAGCAATGGAGAATCAGCAGTCATACGACATGCATACTGCATGTATTTACATGACCGATGACAAAAAGAAATACAGCCACGCCGCGCTATATAGCCGGCTTAAGTCGAACACATTGAGCCATGAGTCGACATCTACAGCGTATAATTATGTGTCACCGATCGCACAGTTTCCCGTGTCAGAACTCAGAGGTGCTGTCGGAACAGGGCGGGCAAGCTGTCGGTCCAGGACAGGTATGCAGTCGTTCCTCACCTGATCGTGGATGTGTCGCCGTTCGGACAGTTTCTCCGTGCCGGAGGTGCTGTCCGCGCCACCGTGGTTCTCCCCGTCGGCCGCGTTGTTGAGCCTGCTCTCCAGCTGCGCTATCCGCTGCAGAAGGGGATGTAGACCGTCAAATATTACAACAATTTACAGCACTACAGCTTGTCGACGGAATCCAACATAATGAGCTCCACTTTATGTTAATTAACTGCATTACACCAAAACCAACTTAATTTTACCGAAATAACATCACCCGAAAAATAGCTAAATGATTCTTGATTCGTCAAAGAAAACTTACACACCAAAAAATGGAAAACACCGCGGTTGGTCAGCTGATAAACCACACATGCAGGCACCAGTACCACCAACCACTCCTTAGTCCTTTCAGACACCTCTCCCACCCACTGTACGGCGGAGGGCGCTGACGGCGTCAATATCCGGTAGCGTCACCGACTCGACGAGCCGCTGGGGTCCCCAGTGAGTCCCCAGTGGGTATCGATCGGGAGCCCCGGCCGAGGGAGGCCCGGCACGGCTGTAATGCCAGCTGACACACTCAGACGGATAGGAATACAGGTGGCGCGCAACAGCCGCCTTTTGACATCAGGCTGGGAGTATGCAGTCTGGTTTTGGTGGTAGGGGACACGTCGTCGTGTAAAGGTCGTGTTAACTCTTCCAAATTAAATTAAATATTTGTAAACGTTGTCGTGTGCATTTTTCATGCTTAATTCATGATTAGAAAGATTGGTTTAGCGTCAGGTCGAGTGCAAAGTAAATTAACGCCTCAGAATAGGACCGCAGCTCTCCTGTTATAGCTCCAGTAAAGCCTTACAAATCCATCACTATCAGCGTCTTAATTTTGGTCCCAAAACCTCCATGCACCTTGATTACATCCTACGCCACCCGAAATAGACCCCACACCGACAGTGACTGCTGTACGGACCTTCTCCATGAGCCGAATGTGGTCCCGCAGTGAGGAGTTGTGGTCGGACAGGCATCCCGTCACCTCGGCTAGGCTGTCCCGCGGGTGAACGCCGAACTCGAACCGCGTGTACATCCCGCGCCAGAACCTGGCGGGAAAACAGCGGCGGGGTGTGATGGGCTGGTAGCCACACGGGTGAGACAGAGCTGGACGATACTTATTTACACAAATGGGACAACTTCACTGAGGTGGCTGCAAGTTGTAAAATGTATGGAAGTCAACACGTTATTTCGACGGTGTCGCGCTATGACATTGTATGTACCTATTAAAAGTTTGTTGCATAATCATTGTATAATCATTGTTAGGCATTGTATATTTGAAGAAAATACCTAGAACAGCTCAGCCAAGCGAACGAACGGACACCATCTTACGTAAGAAACGGATCCATACTATCCACGTACTCGTTAGTTAAAAATGAACTGGCTGCATAGCTCACTATCTCACCATCAACTCAAACACCTGGCCT